TCCTCTGTAAACATAGAGCTTTCTGCTATAGTAAACCCCCAGTCAACATAAAGCTCAGGCAACAGCAAGCCCCTCCGTCAACATTGAGTCCCCCAGCAACAGTAAGCACTCCGTCAACATTGAGCCCCCCAGCAACAGTAAGCCCTCCGTCAACATTGAGCCCCCCAGCAACAGTAAGCCCTCCGTCAACATTGAGCCCCCCAGCAACAGTAAGCCCTCCGTCAACATTGAGCCCCCCAGCAACAGTAAGCCCTCCGTCAACATTGAACCCCCAGCAACAGTAAGCCCTCCGTCAACATTGAGCTCCCCAGCAACAGTAAGCCCTCCGTCAACATTGAGCTCCCCAGCAACAGTAAGCACTCCGTCAACATTGAGCCCCCCAGCAACAGTAAGCACTCCGTCAACATTGAGCCCCCCAGCAACAGTAAGCACTCCGTCAACATTGAGCCCCCCAGCAACAGTAAGCCCTCCGTCAACATTGAGCCCCCCAGCAACAGTAAGCACTCCGTCAACATTGAGCCCCCCAGCAACAGTAAGCACTCCGTCAACATTGAGCCCCCCAGCAACAGTAAGCCCTCCGTCAACATTGAGCTCCCCAGCAACAGTAAGCCCTCCGTCAACATTGAGCCCCCCAGCAACAGTAAGCCCTCCGTCAACATTGAACCCCCAGCAACAGTAAGCCCTCCGTCAACATTGAGCTCCCCAGCAACAGTAAGCCCTCCGTCAACATTAAGCCCCCCAGCAACAGTAAGCCCTCCGTCAACATTGAACCCCCAGCAACAGTAAGCCCTCCGTCAACATTGAGCTCCCCAGCAACAGTAAGCCCTCCGTCAACATTGAGCTCCCCAGCAACAGTAAGCCCTCCGTCAACATTGAGCTCCCCAGCAACAGTAAGCCCTCCGTCAACATTGAGCTCCCCAGCAACAGTAAGCCCTCCGTCAACATTGAACCCCCAGCAACAGTAAGCCCTCCGTCAACATTGAGCTCCCCAGCAACAGTAAGCCCTCCGTCAACATTGAGCTCCCCAGCAACAGTAAGCCCTCCGTCAACATTGAGCTCCCCAGCAACAGTAAGCACTCCGTCAACATTGAGCCCCCCAGCAACAGTAAGCCCTCCGTCAACATTGAGCCCCCCAGCAACAGTAAGCCCTCCGTCAACATTGAGCCCCCCAGCAACAGTAATCCCTCCGTCAACATTGAGCCCTCCAGAAACAGTAAGCCCTCCGTCAACATTGAACCCCCAGCAACAGTAAGCCCTCCGTCAACATTGAGCTCCCCAGCAACAGTAAGCTGGCTGCCCTTAGCCGCCCCCGTGCCAGACGTAAGAGTACAATCGTTATTCAGGTCCCGTGATTAGCGAGAGGTAGTTGGCTCACTCTGTGCTGCCTTGGAGGGGGTGGTGGCTGTCAGTGTTGACGGGGTGGGGGGGGAACAGAGTCATGAAGACATCCATTGCCACTTCAAGAACCGTCTCCCAGACGACGGTGAGTGCTCGTCCAAGCGGTCTAATGTCGGGGTGGCTATGGAAACACACACACATCCACGTCAAGAGCGGGTTGACGTGGATGGATATGGGGGTTGACGGGAAGATTGACTCGCCACTCCACCCACCACCTGTTGCTGGGTCCTAACAAGCCAAGCTGCAATTGACGTCGGGCGGGGAACGATGTAAAGGCTGGTATCACGGAAAGGCTTGAGGGCGGGCCTTGATGGGGATTGATGCGAGCCACATGGTGGGGAATTGATGGGGTTAAGTGAGGGAGTGTGTTGCAGAGTTGAGATCTCTCCGCCTCATTCCCTTCCTTTGCACCTCCTCCTTCTCCTCCTCTCGATGAAGTGAGGCAGACCTGGAGGGTGATGGGGGTGTGGGGGGATGAATGGGGGGGGGGCGGGGCGGGGCGGATGAAATAAGATGTTTAGGGGGTTAGGGGGTGTTGGGGGATTGATTAGTGCCAGGAGGTGTTGAGATCATAGTGCCCGGTAATGGAAGGGTGAGATGAAGGATATCAAGTTGATGGATGGATAAGGAGTTAATGGATGGGAATCTAAGAGGCGTGGCTGGAACATTTGATGGATGCCTGTTCCGCTGTTGCATGAAACTACTCGAGCGAATGTTCACATAAACGAAAACGTTTCACACAGACCTCACAAACGGGCAAAACGTTGATTAATGCCTTTCAGTGTAGAAAACTGCCAGACCTTACATGTAAGGCATATATATATATACAACCCACATCATAACTACCACATAAGAGCAGCAACCTGCAACAGATCGATGAAGATTAGAACCTAGCTCTTACCTACGCTCCACCAGGTCACTGAAACTTGCAGTCAGTAAATAGCAATAACGCTGCTGGCTGGTCCGTTAGACGGTGAACCTCACACATCTGACCAGAAAGAAAGAGTGAAGACGTTTCGGTCCGTCTTAGACCATTATCAAGTTGGGGGAGGACCGTAACATAAAAAAATCCCAACCAAACATTAAGAATAATCCAACGAGCTTTTGACCTCAAGGATTACAACGTGTTTATTCAGCTGAACAAATCTCTGGTGCACTCTGTCCTCATCAAGCAGGAAGACATATCTGCTTGAGAAAAAAGTTCATAGCAGAGCCATAAAAAATCATCCCAGGACTAAGTGAACTCATCCCACTAAAGCTGATCTGATACTGGTTGGGCAGATCTCATACAACGAGGCTTGATCTTATCGAATCCTTTAAACCACTAAATAATTTCGTGAGATACTAATCCAAACCACTTCTGTAAAAGGACCAATGTTACGCCAAATAGTGGGGGCAACCGCGTCTAGCTCAACAAGCCACAATGGACTTGTTACTTAACTTGTTTAACTTAACCTGTTGACAACAGGAGATAATTTTCTCATCCACAAACCCTTGAAATCCTCTACCCGCCACAACAGGAAATGCCAAGACAATACTCCGGATCAAAAATTCAACCCGAAAATATTCTCAGGAATATTGTGGGAGAACCTTCAGACAGCCGCCGGCTTCCTGTATCCCATCGAGACCACCAGAGGTGTCGACTCAGTTAAATTCATGTAATACCGGAGGCACTATCGTTCCAAATTTGCACATCTAAGTAATTCCTTCACAGAGCGGGAGGCGCGGTAGAGATATGCTAAACAGGCTCTTGAGGACCATCACTGAGAGAGAAGGAAAGACGATCTGCCCTCCCGGTACAACACAAACTTAGTCTCTAAGATCACACCAGACTCGATCCTTGAGACAACATGGGCAGGCCAGGTGGAGCACCAAGGTCTCTACGTAGAGGATGGATAGGTAGATGCTGGGTAGAGATACTAAAGAGATACTAGTTAGGTTGGTGTTGGGGTAAGTAGATACTAGGTAATTACATGCTGGGTAAACAGATACTGAGTAAATAGATAATGGGTAAATATATGGTTATGCTGAATAGGTAGATGCCAGGGAAGTAGATGTTGGGCACGTAAATACTGGCTAAGTTGGTGGTAGGTAGGTAGGTAGATGCTGGGTAGGGAGATAGATGTTAACTTAGTTGAAGACTGGAGAGAACAGTCAGTTTAACTGTTAACTCCCCGGACGTGTCCAACGGCTCTCAAGTCTCGACACCACACAAAGTTTGCTGTGGGGGGGGGGGTCTTGACGGCGCTGGCGGCACATTGTGGAATGACTGGTTCCTGCCTGTGTGTGGAGTGACTATATAGTTCCTGCCTGTGTGTGGAGTGACTATATAGTTCCTGCCTGTGTGTGGAGTGACTATATAGTTCCTGCCTGTGTGTGGAGTGACTATATAGTTCCTGCCTGTGTGTGGAGTGACTATATAGTTCCTGCCTGTGTGTGGAGTGACTATATAGTTCCTGCCTGTGTGTGGAGTGACTATATAGTTCCTGCCTGTGTGTGGAGTGACTATATAGTTCCTGCCTGTGTGTGGAGTGACTATATAGTCCCTGCCTGTGTGTGGAGTGACTATATAGTTCCTGCCTGTGTGTGGAGTGACTATAGTTCCTGCCTGTGTGTGGAGTGACTATATAGTCCCTGCCTGTGTGTGGAGTGACTATATAGTCCCTGCCTGTGTGTGGAGTGACTATATAGTTCCTGCCTGTGTGTGGAGTGACTATATAGTTCCTGCCTGTGTGTGGAGTGACTCTAGTTCCTGCCTGTGTGTGGAGTGACTATATAGTCCCTGCCTGTGTGTGGAGTGACTATAGTTCCTGCCTGTGTGTGGAGTGACTATATAGTCCCTGCCTGTGTGTGGAGTGACTATAGTTCCTGCCTGTGTGTGGAGTGACTATATAGTCCCTGCCTGTGTGTGGAGTGACTATATAGTTCCTGCCTGTGTGTGGAGTGACTATAGTTCCTGCCTGTGTGTGGAGTGATTATAGTTCCTGCCTGTGCGCACTGCACACTGTACCAAGCTCTGCCATTAACATCATTTAAAATACGTATTCATTGCAAAAATAATGTTCTTAACTTCTAAGTGTAACTTTAACGTGTCTTTAGTTCATAAAGGCAATAATGTTTATTTTATAAACACTTGACTTTAGAGTTTCATGTATGGCGGCAGGAATGTTGATTATATCATAGTGTGATGTTTCTCTCCTGTGTGACGCCAGGGACGTTATTGATAACGCTGACTATGATGTTTCTCACCTGTGTGACGCCAAGGACGTTATTGATAACGCTGACTATAATGTTTCTCACCTGTATGACGCCCAGGACATTGATCATATCAATAACTTTTAATCTCTCGCCAGTCTGTAGACAAGACCTTTATCATAACACTAATCGTTCCTCCTTCCTTTAAATTAAATTCCAAAACAAATACCCAGTTAAATCATTACCCATAACGTCTTCAAATCATTAACCACGACGTTTATATTGCCCCATTGACCAATATCGAAGGTAAAAAAAATCTAAATCATAGATTTAGATCCTGCCTGTGTGTGTCTAAATCTAAATCTAAATCATCATTAACCAAGTGTCTCCTATTATGACCGCAGGAACGTGCTCGTGGGCGCGGGGCACCTGATCAAGATCAGTTGTGTGGGGTCGTGTAGATCACTCTACGCCGGTGACTACTACACTAGCGACACCCAGTACAGTCCCCTACCCATACGCTGGATGAGCTGGGAGGCTCTGTTCCTGGTAAGTCCCCCTGGATGGTGAAGGTCCTTCACCCCTTCACCATCTTTGGTGGTGAATGGTGTGTGTGTGTGTGTGTGTGCTGGGTGGTGAAGGCTTGTTTTCTTGAAGGTGAATGCTGGGGCGCTCTATGTAGGTGAATGCTGAGGTTCTATATTGTAAATGCTGAGGGGTCTATGTAGTAAATGTTAGAGTTCTAGGTGGTGAAGGCTAGGGTTCTAGGTAGCGAAGGCCAGGGCTCTGGCTGATGAAAGCCAGTGCTCAATATCGCGAGCACAGAGCTCTGGCAGGTCAGCACCAGGCTCTAATGGGCAAGTAGGGTGCTCCTCCACGGGCTGACAAATGCTCCCAATGTTTCCATTCACCGGGGCTGTATGGGTCTCGAACCATGGACCCCATGCGAGTGAGACCGACGCTCTATCGACTCTGCTATGAGCAGTCTGAAAAAGGAAAGACTAATGTATATTTCCACGTAAGTGTGGATGGCAATTTATATAATAATAATAATAATTTTTATTTAGGTAAGGTACATACATAAAGAGATTTTACAAAGTTTGTTGGCTTTATAGATAGAGCTAGTACATACAATGCCTAAAGCCACTATTACGCAAAGCGTTTCGGGCAGAAATATACTTTTACTCTGAAAGAGTACTGAGAAATTTACTCTGTATACTAAGTATACAGAAATATACTTATACTTTCATTGCTTATAACAATGGCAATGGGAGATGACTATAGGCTGTATAACTACCTTCCTCGACTCTAGGAAGTGCATAGCCTCTATTTGCTATGTTAACATTGATAATAATTCCCATACATTTCTTTTTGTCTCTAATGCTGAAGTTGTAAATATTAAATTTGAGACACAATATCTATTTATAATGTATATTTCTTCTTTAATTTGATGGTATAATACCGTTGTATATGTTTTACATAATTCTTTCTCTACGTCACTTGTTCAATTTTACGTTAATTAACCCTGAGATTAATCTCCAAACATTGTACCTCTCTCAGCTTATTGCAATGTTCCTGATACACATCTTTTTTGGCATACATTTTACACGTTGAGGAAATGTTCTATAACTCGCTTATTTCTGCTTGTCTTCTCCAGGGTCACTTCAGTAGCCGGAGCGACGTGTGGTCCTTCGGGGTGACGCTGTGGGAGATGCTGACCCTGGGCCGCCAGCAGCCCTACGAGCGCCTGTCTGACGAAGGCGTTATCGAGAACCTTGCTCATTTCTACCACGACGACGGCGCGGAGGTCAGTGCGCCTCGCCGCCTCTCGTGTTCGCATTGATGGTGGTCTCTTGCCAAGTTACTCAGTGCTCGTGATGATCAATCTTAAAATATTGCTGTTGCCTTATATATATATATATATATATATATATATATATATATATATATATATATATATATATATATATATATATATATATATATATATATATATATATATGTCGTACCTAGTAGCCAGAATGCACTTCTCGGCCTACTATGCAAGTCCCAATTTGCCCAATAAGCCAAGTTTTCCTGAATTTATATATTTTCTCTATTTGTTTTTCTTATGAAATGATAAAGCTACCCATTTCATTATGTATGAGGTCAATTTTTTTTATTGGAGTTAAAATTAACGTATATATATGACCGAACCTAAGAAACCCTACCTAACCTAACCTAACCTATCTTTATAGGTTAGGTTAGGTTAGGTAGCCGAAAATGTTAGGTTAGGTTAGGTAGGTTAGGTTGTCGAAAAAACATTAATTCATGAAAACTTGGCTTATTAGGCAAATTGGGCCTTGCATAGTAGGCTGAGAAGTGCGTTCTGGCTACTAGGTACGACATATATATATATATATATATATATATATATATATATATATATATATATATATATATATATATATATATATATTTAAAAAAAATAATATCAGATGCATCGAAACATAACTGTGTGAGTTCACATTACCCACCACACCTTTGAGTCGTCCACAGGGATACGTTTTACTCCCATACTTCTTTTCCCTCACTTACTTCCCTCCATTTTCCTCCTACTACTTTCTTCCCCCCCTCCCTCCACTCAAGCAATTTTTCTCCTGTTCCAGATGTTCCCTAGCCAGCCTGCCTTGTGCCCTAAGGAGATCTACGACCTGATGCAGGAGTGCTGGAGACGGAACGAGGGCGACCGACCCAACTTCCGGGACATCCACGTGTTCCTCCAGCGCAAGAACCACGGCTACACCCCCGAGGCGTGAAGGATGAGGTGGATGACTCTGTACGGCAAGGATAACGAAGTGATTGTCACCAGAATCGGATAAAGACCAGAGAGAGAGATAAAAAAAAGAGTTTTACGAGAGCTTATGTGTGTATGTGGTGGTGGTGGTGGTGGTGGAAAGACCTATAATGAGGATATCGATTTTTCCAACTGGGAATAGCGGCGAAATAAAACTGTTGGGTGAGGGGGGGAATTTATGAAACGTTTGTGGATGCTACGGGTGTTCGTGTGGTCCCGCCCAAACAGACAACAGAGGGGATACTATGGACTTCAATACTTCCTTGAGTAGACCCATTTTTTAATTCTGGGTTATGGAAATGACTGGAGATGAGTATGGGATTCGAAATAGCGTTCTGTAATCGCTTGAAAGTGCTGACAAAATCTGGATACAGTAGTGTATGAGACCTATTTTTATGTGATGAATGTTTTTTTTCAATTGCACTGAGGAACGGCTGAAGCCATTTCGACATCAGTTGCAGTACCACTGGTGAAATATATATATATATATATATGTTCCAGTACAATAGGTTTACAAGCAACAGTGCCACTGAGATAATAAGAAATATCAGGTATAAGTATCGGATATCAGGTGTAGTAACATTATAGTGATGATAATGATTGTAGAAGAAATGGTTATTAGCTTCTTGTTGCTGAGAATGACGCGGTGGAGCCCCTCAAATGGTGTCACTGTTACTGCACCGTACCTGGCCGTGACAAGGCAGTTTCACTGACCAAACAGTGCCCTCGATGCAGGAGGACCAGTGCCACAGTACCAGTGGAAGGGCAATCATAGTGACAATACAGAATCAATGACATGACACTACAAGTAACGTGACAGTACTATTAACATAACAAAACAAATAACATGACAATACAAGTATTATAGAACTAGTAACAAAGACTAATGACAACAATTAATCAGTCTCAGCAATAGAGGCAGCGCTTGAGATGGAAAACAAATCAAAATAGTGCTAATACGACCCCCTGTACTAAGAAGCTCCAGAATAGTGTAACTCGCTCAGGAACAGTGTGTTTTGTGCCCCCCCCCCTCTCCTGCCATCCACCATACTCCACCATACTTTCGCCATACAGTAGGCCGTGTGCTCTACTCCACCTCCCACCCCATAGTGTGAGGAAATAGTGTGTGTATATATTTATACACACAACACACACACACACACACACGGAGCTCTGAGGTCATCCGCCGAAATCCAAAAATGATATATGACAACTGATGGAAATTATGAGACCAATAACCAAAAAATATATATGTCAAATTAATTGTTAAAAAAAAAACAGCACGAATCAAAGAAACGTTTTTATCATTATATAGATTGTGCACCCGCTGGCCGCCACCAGGGATGTGTACCACCACATCCCTGGTGTAGTGATGATGTGTACTCATCTTGTGGTGGCCAGCACAAGATGAGAATGAGGATGTTGATGAATGATGTTAAAAACCATTATAAATTTTTGTCGCCAATGCCTTTCCTCTCTCTCCCAGTGAGAGTGTTTGAGGTGTTCTCTGTTTACTGTGTGTGGCCAGACTCGATACTTTCCTATACCTGCCAAAAATAACCCCCTAAAAAAATACTTGAAGGATCATTTGTTTTTGTTAGTGTTGTGATGGTGTATATTATGTATGCGTGTATGACGACGTGGGTCTTACATCTCTCTGATGATAATTAAGTGGGCTTCTTTAGTGTCTTACCGATTAGCCGATAAACATTGGTCGAAAAGCGCCCAAAATTAAGGAAGGAATTCAATTGAAAAGGGAACAAGTTTTGGCGTAATTCTCTCTCTTTTCTCTGTTGTGTGTCTGGTGTTTGGGCAGCTCGCCCACAGAGAGAGGGACGCCCACAGAGAGAGGGACGCCCACAGAGAGAGGGACGCCCACAGAGAGAGAGACGCCCACAGAGAGAGAGAGACGCCCACAGAGAGAGGGACGCCCACAGAGAGAGGGACGCCCACAGAGAGAGGGACGCCCACAGAGAGAGGGACGCTAGTGTCCGGTGTTTGGACACCACACTCCCGGACAGAGGGGCCCACACAACCAGCTGGACCCACTGATGGATGTGTTCCAAAGAGATGTTCCTTAACAACACCTTCTTGCCTGCACCGTTGGGGGGTATACTCCCCGACGCAGGAGGTCGTGGATGGGGGGCGGCCCCTCGACGTTGGAGGCGAAGGGAAGTCTGGCGCCTCGGAGAACACACACATACCCAGGTTACGAAGGGCATTTGCAGGTTACGGGTTATTCATGCCCGTGCCACCTCTTGGCTGGCTTAATCTTCATCAATCAATCAACATTGCAGGGTATAGCGCAAGTCTCGCGTCCATAATCACGCGCCGTTGTGAGGTAGGACGAATCGCTTCTCACCCGACTTTGCTATATATTTAAAAAATTAAAAAAGATATTTATTTTCTACAGTTTCTTCCATCAGTTTTACCCTTCTCCCCAAAACCTTATACATATATATATACTTTCCACCATTGTGTAAAAAAAATATATATTTAACCATCACATTTTGTGGTTATGAGAACTGGAAAGAATTACCTCAACGCTTTAGTTTATTAGCAAGAGCTAACGACGTCGAAGGTTCAATCAGGTGGGTGATCCTCGGGCTGCTTCCACCTCACTGGGGAAGAATATTTAGGCGTAAATATTTCGTATAATCGGGCTCACCATAGCCCGTGCTACATGGACACTTCGTTCTGAGTAGCTAATTCTAAAACGAAACGAAACATATAATCATTGTCGTTTGGGTTTTATAAATATTGTGAGAGATACCTTCTGTTTTTTCTTTTTTTTAGTTTGTGGTTGATTATTACACATGTGTGTGGTTGATTGAGGATTTTGGCCCGTGTTGACCTTTGCACATGTGGACTGGAGAACTGTGTTGATCTGTGCACATGTGGACTGGAGAACTGTGTTGATCTGTGCACATGTGGACTGGGGAACTGTGTTGACCTGTGCACATGTGGACTGGGGAACTGTGTTGATCGGTGCACATTTGGGCTGAAGAACTGTGTTGATCTGTGCACATGTGGACTGGGGAACTGTGTTGATCTGTGCACATGTGGACTGGGGAACTGTGTTGCCTGTGCACATGTGGACTTGGGAACTGTGTTGACCTGTGCACATGTGGACTGGGGAACTGTGTTGACCTGTGCACATGTGGACTGGAAACTGTGTTGACCTGTGCACATGTGGACTGGGGAACTGTGTTGCCTGTGCACATGTGGACTGGAGAACTGTGTTGATCTGTGCACATGTGGACTGGAGAACTGTGTTGATCTGTGCTCATGTGGACTGGGGAACTGTGGTGATCTGTGCACATGTGGACTGGGGAACTGTGTTGACCTGTGCACATGTGGACTGGGGAACTGTGTTGACCTGTGCACATGTGGACTGGAGAACTGTGTTGACCTGTGCACATGTGGACTGGAGAACTGTGTTGATCTGTGCACATGTGGACTGGAGAACTGTGTTGATCTGTGCTCATGTGGACTGGGGAACTGTGGTGACCTGTGCACATGAGGACTGGAGAACTGTGTTGACCTGTGCACATGTGGACTGGGGAACTGTGTTGACCTGTGCACATGTGGACTGGGGAACTGTGTTGACCTGTGCACATGTGGACTGGAGAACTGTGTTGACCTGTGCACATGTGGACTGGAGAACTGTGTTGATCTGTGCACATGTGGACTGGAGAACTGTGTTGATCTGTGCTCATGTGGACTGGGGAACTGTGTTGACCTGTGCACATGTGGACTGGGGAACTGTGTTGACCTGTGCACATGTGGACTGGAGAACTGTGTTGACCTGTGCACATGTGTACGGGAGAAGTGAGTTATCATAATTATATGAACAAGACCCTTCCAATTACAGGTAATAGGGGAATCTATAATTAGTTCTTTTCTTTCGTTCCATTTTGTACTAAGTTTACTTATAACGTGGTTCACTGATAATGAGATTTGTTATAGTCTTACGTCTGGCAGGGAAGATACAAACAATTGCCGTTCGAGATGCACTCAACTGTACTACCAGAAAGTTTAATAGCTCAATTTTGACCTCTGGTTTCCACTGGAGAACCCAGGGTCGTAACAGAGTCTCATAACAAGAATCTACATTACCAGGGGTTCAACCGTAAACGATTTACGTTAATAAGGTTCAGCTATAATTAGCGTTCGCCATTAACACCAAGTCACCTGTAATTGTGTTCAGTGTTAGCAGACTTCACCTGTAATGCAGATAACGTATCTGAGCATCTAAGATCTCAAATTTCAACTCCAAAGTCACACAGAATCAAAATAAAAAACAAACATTTCTCCACAATTCATTTATGAAACAAATCAAGAAGAACGTCAATTTTTGTACATTTTGTACATAATGTATTCCTTGAACGTGAACAAGAAGGCTGCCAAGAAGGCTGTGTTCCGACTGTGACCTCTTCAGACAACCACACGAACCCAGCCTCTACCATCCATCCCTCCCACACAAAAGCCTGAAGCAGCCACCTCTCACCCGCCACCGACCATCATTACAAGCGTCTGTGGTCAGTAACAAGGCAATCAAATTTTCACCGCCTTTTCTTAGCCTTATACACAGTGTAGTGGAGCTAGTCAACCAAAAAAAAAAAACTTAAGTATAGTGATACTAAATTAATATGTTTCTTGCTGGCGATGTCTTGAGTGCTGTTCGTCTCCGTCGCTATTTCTTGTGTGTTATTATTTCTCGTTTCGATTATATATATATATATAGGGAAAAAACTACTTTTTTTTGCACCTCATTTGCTTATATAGAGCTTTAAACTGTTGAGTCTACCTTTGGCTAATGCATGTTTGAGACTGTATGTGAATATTATATATATATATATATATATATATATATATATATATATATATATATATATATATATATATATTATTCGTTTTATATTGCCTTTTTGCATTGTAGCTTGTAAGAGGACCTAAGTAAAGTTACCAACGATGGCTGATATGATGTTTTACATGAATGTTCAATATTTTACATGTTCATTAGTGACGCACTCTGATTTCGTTAACGAGTTCAGGTTCGTAATGCCACGTTTACGAATTTTGATTCTGAAATCTCGTGGAATAGAACGTTGATTGTTTGCTGGGTTTGACTTTAATATAGACGTAGTCGATCTGCTTCAAAATACTTTTTTTTTCTTAATCAATTTTGTTATATTGATGAACAAGTATATTTGACTAATGATACTCGCATGATGAACGAGAATCACCTAGTTAGAGAACTTACCTGAGATAGAGCTCACAGTAAGAGCGCTTACCTGAGATAGAGCGCTTTCCGTAAATAGACACTCACTTAATAAGTTTCACGTTAAAGACGAGTCACTTAGAATGCGTCTCACCCGAACTAAGGTATTCTTAGTATAGGTTTACTCTCAGTAGGGTTAACGCTTAATTGGGTTTACTTGCAAGAAGGTTTACCGGGAATACGGATTATCTGTAATTGGAGTTCATCTTTATCAGGGTTCTGCTGTAACTGAGTCCACCTATAACACGGCATATATGTATCGATAATTATTTCGTTACTGTATTTACCTGTATAAAGAAGTACCTGTTATAACATTTGATTATTATAGAGCTCACCTGTAATAGGATTCACCTGTAAATTGGGGTTCACTGCTATTTATTGGATTAACTTGTAATAGGATTCACCTGTATTTTGGCTCAGCTGTCAGGATATATTTTTATATCCTGATAAAATGTAACAGGGCTCATTTGTAATATGGTTCACCTGTAATTGGGATCAACTGTAATATGAAATACATATACATGACAACCCCTCAGAACACTTTTACTTGAAAGAAGGATATAAAAAATTTAAACGTCTCCAAAGATGGGAAGACAATTTTAACTTCTCCAAAGAGGGGAAAGAAAATTTTTAGGTCTCCAAAGAGGGAAAGAATATGTTTAGCGTCGCTAAACGGGAAAACAATTTACAGGTAATCTAAACGAGCAAGCAATTGTACACTTAAAGGAATTAAAGAAACAACAGAAGGCCTATTGGGTCATACGTGGCCAGTAGGCCTAAGGCACTCACCCGGAAGATATAGGCGACCTTTAAACCATTTTGGATTGGAAAGATTTCAGTAATACTCTGGAACGTCGACTCTTGTACTCCTGAATGTGATAAATGATTTAATATGTGTGTGTGTGTGTTTTACATGTATATAAAGATATTTTTAGTACTTAAGGAATATCAGGTGTGAGTTAAACACCTGACTCGTCTTCGGGGTTTCCAACCATGAAGCCTCGTACAGGTGGTACAGATGTAGGTTAACTTTTATCTTTTGGCTTCTAATTTATTACATAAATCCTCTTATTTATGGAACTTGTGTGAGATAAACATTTACCCTTATTTATTTATTTTTTAATGTGGAACAGATGTTAAGACGGTATTGCCTACTGTTTATTGGGGGTACCGCTTTAAGGAGAAGGGTGCCACTTAAGTAGGGTATCTTATGGAGACGTTTTTTTTTATACTGCTGATATTATAGGTGCCAGATTTTATTAAAGCCTCTTTAGATGGTCAGATCCTCTTTTGTCACTATATGTCAAGGATGTTCATTAGATTCGAATCCCTCTCCTGTTGTTTCGTGTTGGTCCCACTCTGGACTCGACCTCATTTTCGTAGCATTAATTCGTCAAGCTGCCATGAACATTTCTACCCATTTTGTGTGAATGGAGGAGAGAAAGAGAGAGAGATTTCATTGTTTTTTACGGGCTCACCATAGCCTGTGCTACATGGACGTTTTGAGTAGCTAAATCTAAAACAACAACATTCATTGTTTTCTACCCATTTATTTTAGTTGAACCTATAATAGTGTGTAGTAGAGTGCGGTTTAGCGTGTGGTAACTTTTAATCCCGTCTTGTGCCCTTAAATTTGTCTAAGTGTGACCAAACAATAATTCTACTTATTTGTTTTGACTCGAAGGACCAACAAAGATAAACATGCGAGCAGATATTTTCCTAAGAGTTGTGTCTGTGAATTAGGTGTAGTAAGATTCAGATGTAAAAGAGGGTTTAATTGTTATGAAATACCAGAGTAATTGAATTAACATTTATTTGGTTCATCTGTAATAGGTTCCAAATTAAATTTGGGTTACCCGTAACAGTGTTAAACGGCAATATCTTTCACCTGTAATAGTGCTGACCTGTAATTAGGTTAATCTTTAATGGGGTTCAGCTGTTATATAGTTAATTCTCAATAGGGTTGTACTGTAGTTTGGTTAATTGGCAACAAGGCTCCACTGTGGTAGGGGGGTTTCAACTTTGTGTCAGCGTACGTGTATTCGACATGGGACATGGGCCGAAGTTTTTGACCAGAAAGAGAAGGATTAGTTAGTACACAACTCAAGCCTTATTACCAACACAGGTGCCGGCGACAAACTATTCGGCAACACACATACACATAAACAACTAGATGCAATTAATTAACTAGGATATCTAAGTAAGTTCAAGTATGTTTATTGAGAAAAGCAAGAAATACATCTCAAAGGGATAGAGTAGCTTAGGCTATTTCTACCCCCCAGATTACCTACCTAAGTAACCAGGCCTCCACCGTGGGGTAAGATAATGCCATGTGCTTGAAGTCAATGAGGTTAGTACTTACAGTCTTGTGCAACAGTTAAGTACATTTAGAAGTAGGATTATACTGAAATCCCGAGACCGCCTCCAAAAAGATCCGAACGAACGCCTTTTATATTCTTTTTGACTCTTAGAATCATTTGCACAAATTTGTCAAAATAGCGAAATAAAGTCTACGTACTTAAAATGAATATTTTTGGTTATATTATAATCTGCTGTTGACTAATATTTAGTTGTCCGCTCCTACAGCGTTGTCTGGTTACACGAGGTTTTGTACTTTTTCTGAATCTTGGGTATCTACGAATTTGGTATATATTATATATATATATATATATATATATATATATATATATATATATATATATATATATATATATATATATATATATATATAGGAACCTTCGGCACCTCTGCTTGGTCACCTCGGATAGTTGGCACCTTATGTGGCAGTTATGGCACCGAGGTGCCTCGTTATTGTGATGCTTGTGTAACGAGGCACCGCTAGTTAGTTGCACAAACTGGCTCGCTGAAATCTTCTTTCCTTTACACAATACCACATTGGTCAGGGTTTCTGCCCTTGATATACATACACCTTTGTCATGTGTGTGTGTTTGTACCTTGTCACTACCAACCTGGTCAACTACAGCCCGGACTCAGTGTTGTTACCAATACTGGTTTTCTGGCAACATAAGCTTCCCTTTCAGGTCAACGCCCCTTCCGCCTCCTCCCTCAGATACTGTGTTCAAAATGATCAGTATAATTCTTCCTTGGCCAGAGAGAGAGAGAGAGAGAGTGAAAGTGTTGGTGAAAGCGCGAGTGAAAGTGAGATTGTGAGTGCTTAAGACAATCAGGAATGCTAAACATATCAGACAAGCGAGGATGCTCTGTTCAGGCACCCACAAATCCCGTCATTATTGTTTTTGGTTTTATTTCATTATAATATAGTTGTCTAAAGTTTCACTGCCCGCATCTACATCGCGTATTTCATCACGGCAACAGCGATAGGCCGTAGCCGCATAGCTTGGAGATTTAGTAGGAGAGATACTAACCAACCGGACTGTCTGTCAGTCAGCCAGAAACTGCTCAACCGAATGCTTATTTTGGCCGAGAGCAGTAGACCGGATCTATGAATGACTAGACGCGAAAGCTCTGAATGTTAGACATATCAGAGGCCATTTTCTTGCCATTAACGGAAACGATTCTTTTAACGAAAATGATATATTTGCCTTTTTTTTCCCCCCCCCTCACTAGAATGTCTTAACGCAAGCACATTAGCCAGGCGCTTTCCTGACCGGAACGAGTGGACTTAGAAGCGTCTAGGATTAGTGTCGATGCTAAACACGACGAATATAGACCCCCATACCCCCCCATCGCCTCTATACCCCCCATTCCTCCCCCACCGCCCCCATCCCCCCCCCCATTCCTCTCCCCAACACCACGAGTCCCACCTCCACACCCTTCCCCCACGCCACCTGCCTCATTCCATCCCCCACCCTCACTCCAATTCCCTCCCCCCCCCCATCCCCCCCCATTCCTCTCCCACGATGCTCCTCGCTGCATTTGCGTCCCGTAGGTTCTAACTCTGCGAAGGTAAGTGTTATGTTACGAGCTTCCGCTGGGACCCCAGAGCGCGACGGAGCTGCCACGTGTAGGTAACGGTCCACACTATACACCCATTAAATCCATCTTCATGGCAAAGATACACATCTTTTAAATCCATC